AACTTTTCCGCTGGCGAGGGGCGGGTCGTATTTGGTCGTTGGGAGGGAGGAGGGGGTTGCATGTGCCTTCAAGAGCAAGGTGCTGCGTTCCGCGGTTGTTGACTTTTCGCAGGATTTTCCTGTTTCATGTGTACTACTTGGGGATGGGGGTTCGTACCGAGACCCCCATTCCCCATTTAGGTGGGGGGGGGAGGGGCGGGGCTCGTACTGACACCCTCTCTAGGAGGGGGGGGATCGTACCTACAACACCATGTCCCACATCACGATGCTGTACCCTGCCTTTAACGCGCTAGAGCTCAGGTTCTCTGAGCCCGAGGAAGCCTGACCATCGAGTAGGCGGTCAACCACGAGGAAGAAAGTTCCCAGCTAAATCACTGGTTATAGTCATCTAATGATGTTGCCTCTCTATGGGAGAACCGGGCTACCACATCGGCGCATCGTACGGCGGTGCGCGGCAAATACTCGGTGTGCAATTTCACAATTGGAGCAGCGAAATTCATGCGAAATCGTGCGGAAACAAGACTCAACGCCGAACGAGTAGATCTTTCCCAACCATTTTACATTCAAATTCTGACAGCCATGCAATACATATCGACTCGCCATCGCGGCATCGCTCGCCACCCCCACCATCGCGGCATGTTACGATTGTCTTATCACATACCCTTGTCCGTGAACAGGTACATGGATGTCATAGACGCAAAAAAAGGCAGCGGCGATGATTACGACAGACTATAATTGTTTACAATCCCTGCACTCCCCGTAGATACCGATAATGATAAAAGTTTATGGAAGATGAGGAAGAAATGCGAAAGGATGGTGTGCCTCAGTTACATAAATACAGTCTAAGCAAGCGGTCTTCCGGCATGACGGAAAAGTCAGGGACCGGTGCCCCCAGTGGACAAGGCGATGCACCTGGTGGAGAGAGTGGTGCTACTGGCGCTACTGGCGTAAGTTTTTCTGTCAAAACTAAGTGTTTCTCGCGTAAAAGGAACACAAAAATAAAGGACTTGATGTTAATGCTAAGGAGTCCTAAGCGGAGAATCAGAATCAACACAATTCAGAATCAGGAAGGAGCAGACGACAAGGACGAGAAGAAGGAGCTCGACGGAACCGGAGCCGGCAGTCAAATGGGGGGCACTACAGGAGGAGAAGGCACTACTGGAGCTACTGGTACAACAGGTCAGCGGTTGGTCACTACGGTAGTTTTCCACCATTGCGGTCACTGGAGGGGGTCTAACTCACTCACTTCCTTCTGTGTAGAAAGCCTATAGAAACGCTGTCTATTCCAGAAGGAGGAAAGAAGAGCAAAAAAGGGAAGAAGAAAGGCAAAAAAGGAAAGAAAAAGAAGACAGCCCATTTCAAGCAAGTACTTTGGCTGGGCCCCTTTATAGACCCTGTACTGGAAGACCCGAAATAAAAGCCCCGGGGTAGCTCATCATATCAGCGTTGAAAATTTGCAGGAAACGAGGACACCCGTGTTACAAAGTTCTCTGCATCGTATTCTCACTACTGTCGTTAGCAAGTCTTGCAACCGCTATGACCATGGCAGCGTTGATGTTGAACGAAGCAGGAAAGTGATAAACGCCCCAATAAAATGGTTGATCCCGCATGTTTTTCGTTTCAATGAAGTTTTCGATCGGGAGCGTTTAATGAACATGACATTTGACTGTGTTACTGTTTGTGCTATGTATAAAGCTTGTCCTGCAATCAGACAATGCAACTGATCACACCAAATAATGCTTACAGTCATTATCCCTGCAAACGAGTGGGCGTGTGATGGGCGTGCTCTGGAGCGCAGCTAAAGCAGCCATTTCCACTAACTTAGGGCTCAAACGGCATCTATGAGGCTGCTATAGCAGCGCGATCCACGCCCCCTTACAACGCCCTCTCGTTTGACCTAAGGGCAACATGAACGGTCCCTTTTGAAGCGGAAGCTTCTCTTTCTGACCTCTCTCGTATACACGACGTTCTGTGACCTCTTATCTCCCACTTTGTACGCACAATATGTGTGTCGCCCACCCTGGACCCCACGTTCTTCAAGAGTCTTATCTCTTGGCATGTGTTTAGGGTCTTCGGACTAGTTGAACTCAATCCCTTTGAACGCGTAGATCTTCTCTTTTTCTCTGCACTCTCTCGTCCGCATGGCAGCCGTTGTGACTTCGCACGTTCCAGCTTTTCACCGATTATAAGTAGCTCACCCACCCCGGAGTCCCCTCCCCTTGAAAAAGCCCGTTTCCTGGCTCGCCATACGATTCTTCCATGTTTCGATGCTTTGGCAGCCGCTGTCGTCTATCCGTCTGCGTCACAGGGTTTCGTAGTAGAACATAAGTTCGAGATGTCACGAAACCCACAAAAGTTCAAGTAGTGATGTGCCCTGGAAGCGTACATGGGGAACAAGGATGAAGGGGAAAAGGCTGAAGACGGCAACGACTCTGAACAGGGGACTAGTCACCTCTTATAACTAAAAGGTACTAGGCACACTCTCGCTGTGGATGAAGGGACATATCAAGTAGTATCCCGTTCCCTGCCCGTGGTTGACACTGAAGGAGGAAAACGTGCGGTACAGACAAATGATACAGTCTTGCCCCTGCTCGCTTCAACAACTGGTGGAGAACGGACTTGACATCGCCCCAAACTCTTCCCGCCTGACATGGCGACACCGCCCCAAACTCTTCCCGCCTGACATGGCACTTCGTCCGCAGCGAACTGTAGTGTACTTGCGGAGGAAGCTCTTTCGGGGTATGGAGTGAAACTGCAAGACTAGTATGATAAATGCACGTCTGCGAGACTTACTTTGTGAATGGCTTTACGAAAGCATGGTCACAATTGTCTCGAAAATGACAGTATTCCACCAACCTGCCTGCCTCGTTCAAACGAAGCACAAAGCAGCGTCCCCTCCGTCTTCGGGATATGGAGTGAAGCTGATAAAGGATCTCTCAGCAATGCTATCAAAGGTCACTTCAGCAAGGCCTGTGCACAGTGGACTGTAGAAACGACAGGTGTTTGTTCTCGTTCCCATTCAAGGCTACATTCATACTTTGTGACAACAAAGAATGGTGGAATTCGAGGATCGGAG